TTCGTTCGAATATTACTTGTTTTTGTGCAGAATTAAGAAGGCGGTAAATGTATTGTAAAAATATTAGTTTATGATGATTTTTGATTGTTTTGATATTAGTTCAATAAATAACGCGAGATTATGTTATGATTATTTATATTTCTTTATGAATATATTACCTAAAGTACTATTATATGATGTTAACACGTAAAATTGTGGACTATCGTTGAGGAAGAGAGATGCGATGAAAGAAGAAGAGCAAAATTAAGCTTCCTCTCTTCCCTCCTTCCCTCCCCCCCTCCCAAAAAAGTCTAGTTCCGGCACTGACGTTAGAGGCAGTTCATTAGTTATAACTTGCTTGTCTAAAAAAATGTCCGGGAAATTTAAACCGCTTAACTAAAAACAATTTTTGAATTAATATATGTTTATTTCCTGATATCTTAATGCTACTTTTATTTATGTACTTAGAGTATTTTTTTTTTTAAGTTATAGAAAATGAATCTGACCTATATCGTCTATGTTTTTATGAAAATCATTCTACAAATAATTGAATCGGTGTGTGCAGAAACCACTTCAGTAAAAAAAAATGTGAAAAATCTTTTTCCATGAAAAGGAGGTTAGAGTCAAGTTGAGTCAAGGCAAGATGAGTGTTGATTACAAGAACCACGTTAGTCTGTTGAGTAATTCAGTAAATACATGACGTCTTTGTCGATCGTTGAGCTCAGAAATAACATGAGTCAGTGACTGACGTGGTTTTTGCTCCCACCGCTGGGTCGCATGACGAGCATAGATGGGCATATTTATATTGAAAATAAAATTAAGAATACGATTTATATTTATATTACTCGTGAATGTAAATATAAATATATTTATAGTCATGAAAATAAATATGAATACAGATGATACGTATTTACGGCTGTAAATATAAATATAGCCATATTCAAGACTGTAAAGTGAATACGGCTGTATTTACGGTAGTAAAAGTGAATACGGCTATATTTACACTAGTAAAAGTGAGTACGACTGTATTCACGTTTATTAAAATGAATACCCTTAAATTTACAGAAGTGAATAGAAATATTTCCCCACAACCTTCTTAATGAATACTCTTATTTATTAAAAAAATATATATTTATTAAATTGTTTATAAAAAAAATATATTTACTATATATACCATTTTATTTTTATGTATAGTATTATATTCTTTGTTTTACAATATGTTATGTTAATTATCCCTCGTAATGTTTGTACGTCATATAAATTCCCAAAGCATTTTTTTTTTAACCCATCGCCCCATTAAATTGATCAAATTAAATTGTAAAATAAAATAAATTAATATAAATTGTAGTAAAATATATTGTTAATTAAAAAATATAAACTTTTAATGGATGGTTACTTTTTCCCAAGTGTTCAGCTGTTTTTATCTTTCCAAATGTTACTGGCCTTAGTCTCCGTCATATGAAGCGTCGCTACGGTTCCGTGAAATCCACTTCACTAAATCAATTTATTGATGAAAAATAATCACAAATTTACCATTCTACTAAAAGAAAAATATATAAGATAATTTTTTTAATATATCTATTCAGCAAAACACAGTTATATAATTTTTAAAAAAATCTCGAAAATCAAAACGAAAAATACATTGACTAAATTAGGAACTTGAACATGAAATACGAACAAAAAATTACTGAATACTAAGAACAATTATAATAGGATTCAATTGAATGCCAAAATAATACAAACACCATCACAACATAAACATCAGCCTCTAATGGCCTCCAATGTCTCATCGATAGTCACGTTTGCTATAATTAAATAACAAGAATGGCAGTTTCTGAAAAACTCCAAAAATGTTTCGGGCAGGTGCCAGTCGGTCTATTTCTTTATGTTGTTGACGAGTTTCTCAATAGACTAATTTGAGGGATCAAAGTAAAATTCGAAACCTCCATACACTCATAGTGTGATGAAATATTTCGATTCCAAACTTGGAATCGATTTTGCCACTTGATCCCCACAAATCATCCAGATTTTTGCCCGGCTTAATGCATATCGGCAATAAAAATCAGCCCAATAAAGGCTTTGATTTCAATTATATCAGCTGCTATTATATCATTTCATGAAATATTTACACATACGCCTTCAATCCCCAAGTTTTGGTTCAAAAATAGAACGCAATCACATCACTACTGTAGAATAGATCACATCACTACTGTAAGACTCCATGAATCAGGAGAATACGCGGAGGGAAGGTCCACCCTAGAGGTATGAAACACATCAAACGTTCGACGATTCTCTAAAATATGATGCGACCATGGAAGTCTTAAAATGGATACAAATGTTTAATTTTTGTAAGTAATTCTCGATACTAAATAAAAACTTTAATACTTAATACTATGAAAGTACCTGAAAGTGAACAGGAAGAAAAGTAATAAAAATAAATTTGTAAATGTTAAAGTGTTTTTAAGTCTCAAATATTTACAACAAATTACGTTTCTTCACTTGAAGCGTATAATACTTATATATTTAGTTAAATTTGTACATATTTTTGATTAAAAAAAAGATCACTTATGTTGCGATGTTACTTATTAATATATATTATAAAGAAAATTCTAAAAAATCACCATGTGTGTTTTACAATATAATTTTTTCTCATTTTGCAACATTTGTTATTTCTCAGTTTTATCTCAAAACTAGCTCATTGATTTGTTAGATTTCCGTTAAATTCTGGGACATGTTTTTCTAGAAAAATGAACTTTGACCCATCGTAGCTGTTAGTTTTTAATTACTATCCGGTCCTGGCTAATTTGGCAGCTCTCGGAAAATTCAATTTACTTGTTGATTGGGTCACCAATGGTATTTGGCAGTAGTAAATTTTGAGGCAAATGGTGGATATTTGAAATATTTATTTTTATATTTAAATACTGTTTAATTATTATCTGTATTATTATCATTATATTTTCTGCATTTTAAAAATTTACCAAATATAAAATACAAAAAAATATATCAATCAAACAAGAACAATGCCATGTAGATAAACTTCAGTGACAACAGTTCTAAATTAGAAGATCCCCTCATAGTCTTTTTTCTAGACCGCTAGAAGGATTATCATAGGATCAAACGTTGAATTTTTTATGAATAAACGGCTAATCAAATCGCACTTAAAACCCCATCAAGTTCTAAACAATTACAAACAATAAAACAAAAATACAAACATTAAAATAAAAGCCTGAGTTTAAAGCTGTTGGAAAGACTTTTTGAGCCGCAGGGGTCAAGATGTAATCTCCAAAGCCGATTACAAAAGTATTAAGTCTTCTTATTCGAATTTGTATTCCTTCACAATACCCTCCACCCCCCTTACAAGTAACAGGCTTTTAAATAGGCATTTTCATTGAAAATTTTATTGCTAGAATTGCCTGTCATTATTAAAACAAGTGATATAATTATTTTTTAATCGAATTTTAATTTATGCTAAAAAAAAATAAAGAAACAGATTTGGCTAAAAAAAAAAAAGCAAATCTTAAAAATTATGAATATAAGTGGCTTCATATCAAAAATCTGTCATTTGCAGAAAGTGGAGAAACCGTCAATTTTTGTTTTATAGATTCAACGAAAACTATTTCTGATGATTTTATTGAAGAATATTAAAGTTGAATCATGAATATAAATCATTATATTTGATTTAAATAAAGCTACGTTTCAAAAATCTTTATCGATTTTTTAAAAGACAGATGCCCGTCTTTGATATTAGACCAATAATTCTTTTTATAATTTGATTTAAGAATATTAAAGTTGAATCATGAATATAAATCATTATATTATATATGTTATTAAAAATTTAAACTTAACTATTTAATTGGGAAATTAAATGGGTTATTAAAAACAAATGGAAGCATAATTGTGTACCGATTGAGCTATTTATTGTTCTAGCTTTGAAGAAGATCCAATTGTTAAATTATAGAAAGGAAAATACCGGGATCGAAACGTCAATAAACAAAGAGGAAATGAACATTTATTAGTTTATTAAATAATTAATAAGTGACCTTATTTCCAATTAAATGGTTATGTTTAACTTTAATACTCAAATGTCGATTAAAGAAAAGTCGTAAAGATATATATATATATATATATAATATATATATATATATATATATATATATATATATATATATATATATATATTACAAAAACATCTATAAGTTAGCTTCCCAATACTATTCAGCAAATATTACTTTATTACTATTTAGTAATTCTAAAGAAAACGGCTTGGATGTTAAAATTATATGAAAGTTGATTTTTTGTCCGATATCACATAAGATATTTTTTTCTTTAACTGTATCTGTAATAGGTTTTATGATATTTAGAGGTCAATTCCATTGAAATATACGGTTTTAATCTTTTCATGCTGATCTTGGCAAGGATTATTCAATATATTTGTAAAATAACGATCTTTGGATAGGAAAGCATTCTTAGTAAAATCTTTTAATTATCATTAAAAAATTTTATGTACTATATTTAGCGATGAAAGTTGTAGAGAAAATTTGTTTCAAAACGTTGAAAATTCAATAACGTTGAAAACTTCAAAACGGTTTTGGATATTAGCCTCAGAAGATTTTTCTCCTTTACTATCTATATTATGCAAATATTATATGCTCTATTCCTTCAATATGGTAAGACTGGCGGTAAATCAAAGTTAAATATCTTAATTTAATACCCCAATTTAAGACTGAATTGTAGGCAAATTCCTATTATCATTTCTTCTTCTACATAACAGAATCCTTACAAAGGCCAAAAGCATTAGAAACCCTAAACAATGAGTTATAATTTTACGAATTTTCTAAATATTGGAGCGATTCCTAAATATCTAAGACTAAACTTGGATTCTAGCATAAGGAAAAGTGTTTAACTCTAACAAGGTATTGTTAAGTAAGTCAATTTAATTAATGTTAAGATTTATAATTATTTATTATAATACATGAAGCAAATAAATTTAATAATCATTTTTTTTTTAATTATAATTTCAGGCATTACAAGTTAGAGGCAGAAATAGCCTCGATGACGTGGCGGGTATATCCTAATGAAATTGTCCACGTCACCCCCGGAAAATTTAGAGGATCCATGTACAGTTTAGTTAGAAGAGGATCGCAGTTGGTAAATAACATTTTATAATTACCTCAATTTAATATTTATAGTTAAAAGTGTATTTTCTCAAGTATTTTAAGTGTTATTTTTATATTCCATAGAGGTTCACTCATTATCTTTTACCGATTATATTGTTATTAGATATTAAGAGACTTGTTAGCTCTTAGTAAATGTGTGTTGATGACGTAAAGCAATTGTCAAGCTGAACCTTAGTGTTTTTTACCTTTGCAAGGTATTTTTTTCTAGCTTGTGTTATTTTATTTTCAAAAATATGTAATATGACTTAGGTGGAATTTCTACCAATGTCTCATTCTCCAATTTATATAAATACTCTCTTCTTTTCTCTTATTAAACAAATTAGGTATTGAATCTATGAATTGAATTTTTATGAAAGTGGATAAATATTGGATGGAATATAGTGGATAAATCATTAAAGTATTGTATTCTAAACACAGCTGTAGTTTATTTTGGTGTCAGATTTTACGATCATGAGTATTCTCTTTAGAAATATAATAACAATTCAATAATGTTGGCCAATAATGTTCCACAAGTTCCAATTCAAGTTCTCTGTTTTCTTGAAAGAATGTGGTTGACACTTACCTGAACAGAAAGAGTACAATGTCCGAAAAAAACACTTTAGTCCGTGGTATATACCTCTTTTTAATAAATTATTAATATCCGTCTGAAACTTTGTAAATAGTTTCATCTCATCGTAACCTACAACTATTTTATTAGCGAACTATTGGGGCGTTATCGATATGATGGTCGGCAAACTTTGTATATTTAATTAGGTACTAAAAACTCGTAAATACCTATTTGCTTTCTATTAATATCCATGAACATGGATCGTAAGATGATTTAAGACAAAATCGAGAAAAAAAGATGGCCCCAAAAAATATTGGGCCGTTTGGAGGTGACCTAGAGCCCCAAAATGTCAAAACAACGAGGTTATACAAACGCTCCAATAATTTTGTATGCCACATTTTTTCTCAATTTTTTTGTGTTCAAATTATCTTACTATCAAATGGTTAAGCAAATGGGCATTTACGTGATTTTAGTACCTAATTAAATATACAAAGTTTGCCGAACTCCAGATTGAAAACACCCGAATTCAGAGAATTTTAGTTAATAAAATATTTGTAGATTAGTATGAGATGAAGCTATTTACGAAATTTCAGCCGGATGTTAATAATTCGTTAAAAAGGGGTCTGTACCACAGACTAATACTCTCCTTGACCGCTGCTTAGTAAAATTTCGTATTTGCTTAATATCTTGGAGGTGATCCTACTTGAAGGCACATAATTATAATAAAGATAGTTCATTTAAGGCACGCAAATATTTATTATAAAACTATTTAAATATTGTGCTATTTAATATTTTAGTTTTTGTAATAATTTTCACAGACGATGTTTTCTGAAGACGGGGTAAGCCTCTTTGGTGATGGGAGAGGTCAAGTTTTCGTCCCCACTGCTGTGTATAGGGTAAGTGTTCCAATGGAAATTTTTTTATTTTATATCTGCTAAAATATAAGTATTTTTCTTAATATCTTCAAATGCTATAGAGAATCTGATTCTTTTTTATGAATAAACGATTTCGATTGGTCCAAGACATTAATTATTCAATCGACTGCAAGTAAATTTGTAGGAAATATTGTCTCCACGCAAATAAATAGGCGCAAACATTTTACGTTAAATATCATTTGCATTCCTAGTTTTCTAATTAAAACCCTGTTAACTCTGTTCGTCAACATACCTTTCAAACTAACTATATGTTTACTACTTATTTTGTATAAATTTATTATCTTTCAAACATATTAGTTCTCCAGAAATTTATTAATAGCTATCGAATCTCTCAAAACTTCTGGAAGGCGTTGTTTAATGAGACACTATATTCCGTCTTTCATGTGCCATCATCCCTTGCTCATCATCATACATTGCTTAAATAACTGATTGAGTTCGTGTCTCGTCTCGTTATTAAGCTTTATTGATGTATCATCCCTGTTGATTTATTATTAATACTGAGTTTCCTTCTCATCTTTTGATTTTAAAACGTTTATAGCATGTTTCCTAATTTCATCTATAAATATGAGCAGGGTTGGATAACAAGTTTCGGTCACTTCCTTGTACATATATATATATATATATATATATATATATATATATATATATATATATATATATATATATATATATATATATATATACATATATATACATACATATATATATATATATATATACATATATATATATATATATATATATATATATATATATATACATATATATATATATATATATATATATATATATATACATATATATATATATTTTTTTTTTTTTGCGGTTGTTGCTACAGATCTTGAAAAATCTTTGACCGCGATATGTGTCCAACGCCCGGTCCGTGTGAGTTGCTTCCGTTAAGCTGACGGAGCTTACATAGAGGTCGTAGAGAGAGGCTCTCGGGCAGAGCGGCTTTCCCTGGCGGACGGTCAACCAAATCGAACGGTCACCCATCCAAGTGCTAACCACGCTCATCGTTGCTTAACTTGGTTACCCATAGCAAGCGCCTTAGTCCTCATGGCTACCCCCCAGCTCCTATATACATATATATAATGTTATAATTGTCTAGCTTTGATAAATATACATTAATTACAGGTGTGTATGATATTGCTATTACCGTATTTTAGAACCGTAGTTAGAATCTATTACTTCAGAATAGATTAGTAACTTAGATGCTTAATTTAGTAAGTTTCAACACTGATTCCACCCCTTTTACTTAATTAATATGTTTATAAAATTAATATTTATCATTACCTATGAAGTTAGTTGCCTCTAGCACAATCAGTCGTTTTGGAACAACTTTAAAATAGGAAATACTCCCAAAAAGTATTACGTACTCTCCGGCATGTTTAAATTAGACTATCGCCCCTCCAATATTTATTTTCATATGTTTTCTCTCATTTTCAATGAATACGATTAGTTATTAGGTTTCCGAAACTCTGCAATCTGAACTCTTCAGAATTGAGTAGCAATCTCTTTAGTCCGAACATGTCGTTAGACATTGTAAAAATTAGGGATAAAGATGCTCTTTAATTTTAACCGTACAAGTTAATTTTCAAATTGTTTACGAAATCATGTCATATTATGTGATAACATTACCTTAAAATCAATTATCTAAAACAAACATCACTTTCTTTGATTTTTATTGAATTTCTAAGTCAATCAAGGTCCTGATTTTGAAATTCTCGCGATTTTAAATTGAAATATCTCATTTAATTCACTTCAAATTTAATATTTTGTTAACACAGTCGGTCTTGTCTTGTTATAGTAACTAATTTTTAGCCGATTGAACGTTCATAAGTCTGTGTTATTTTTAAATCGAAATGATTGAAAATCCTGTGGCTCATATATAAATAGCCAGTCATCATATATAAAGAGTTGTCCCAGAATCTTTCAGATTGTCAAATAATTATAAATTTCGTAAAAAAATATCTGTTTTATAGTTTTTATTTATATTTACGATTTATTTATATCATTATTTTTATTTCTTACATATGCCGCCTTTTCGGCTATAAGGGTTTTTTCCCGGGCTAGCAGAGAGGGCAGAGAGGATTAATTTCTGAGTTAAATTTATTCAGAATCGGGGCTCGAACTCTCTTTTCTTGAGGCTATCAGGATGTGGGGGCGAGATGGCAGAGCGGCTATGCACAACACCGCACGGATAGAATATAACTTGATAAAATAATAACGAGTTCGTGTCCCACGGACATGGGGAGCTTTTAAATTTAGCGTAAATCCCCTGGCCTCACTCTCTCGTCCTGACGAAAAAAGGAAAAAAAAAAAAAAAAAAAAAAAAAGGATCCTCCACCTCGCCCTCTCAAACACATCATTAATCCTGATGCCATCCACATCCTGATCCCAATCATAAACAAAATTCCATTTCTGCTTTGTAATTGATAAATTTTTTCGACATTTAAAAAATCTCTCTATCCCACCGAACTATCAAGTGAGTACTTGATTCTTCAGTGGGTTAAGGGAAGAAAAAAAAAAACAGATGTTTGAACATAGTCCATGAGCCGAAATTTTGTAACAATCGAGGAAACATTTTGCCAGTGTTTGAAACAGTGCTGAATGTCTTCTTCTGCCAGCTCCTTCACAAACAGTGCAGCTTTCTCTTTCATTGGTCCCACGGACTCAAATCTTGTTCTTTTTTCTACAATTTAACGAATCTTAGATTTCCATTTACAATCATGAAGTTAAGTGCTAATACATGCACTGACAGAACACGAGTTCACGGCGCTACTCCCTCCACTCCTCTCTCCCCTCCCGATCTCTTTTTAAAACCCCCAAAACTGCTATATTTCCATTTTGACCATGAAGGAACAGTTTTTGGAATTTTCAAAAGTTGGAGAGGGAGAGGGGGTGTTGAGTTCGAAAACTTGGATTTTGCATCTCAGTCACATCCCATACAATAAAATAAAACGAAACCTTCTATCGCCATTTAATGCAACTTAGGATGTACAAGGTTACTGGGCTATTAGCATTTATTATTATTGACGGGATATGTTTAAAGTTTTTTTTCAAATAAGTCACAAAATTTCGACGAAGCTCCAACACTAATTTGTATACTATTTTCAACATCATATTGAAATACTCATCGTCACGAAACAAGCCATCAACTTATATTGTTTGTAAGGAAGTATAAAGTTTCATTTTTATGTTCATGATGGATCTTATTGTTTTAACAATGAATTTTAGTTTAATAGAAAAGTGTTAAGAATAAAATCTACATTCGATTTTAAAATAAGATTTTTTTATCTCTAGGTTCTGAGCTTATAATTTTTTCCACGTAAAAACTCCAGAGGATCCCTGTATAGAGATGGAAATTCTTTTCCCTCACTGGCCATAATATCTTAAAACAATAGGTCGGATGTTCCCCTATAGATTATACTTACTTCTTTTTTACATCGCATGACGTAGTTTCTTGGAACCCCTTTCCTTTTTTCTTTTTCCAACAGAACCCTGCCGCAGCGAGTCGGGTAGCATCCATTTGCTTTGACAATGGTTCCTGGAATATAAAGGTAGTGTGGGATGTGACATTTTTGTGGATCTGCGGTCGACGGCAACACATTTAAGGGCGTTTTGTGATCACCCCAGGTAAAAGGAATCCATATGTTTGTACCAGATACCGTATGTAATACAGTTCTTGAATTCATATCCGTTGCCTTCGCGAAGGTTCTTTTATTTTTATCTTTGAAAAATACACTTTTAGGAAGAAAAAATAGTACAATTCACACAAATGAATTGTATTAATGCATTCGTATGTTGTCGGAAGATGATTTTAAAATTTTGACACCAAGTGTTCTGATAAAAAAGGGAAGAAAAGCAAATCAAAATTTAGCTTGGTACATCGTATAACATTTATAACAGGCGTACAAATATGATATATGATTATTATAAAAAACAAGAACAAGTAGGAAATTATGAATTTTTATTCCATTTTTATACTAGGACCATGTTGCTACTCGCCATTAACAAATCCTCGTATTACTAACCTCGTAAATCCATGTATCTATGGTTCTCAAAAAGTCATCCAGCTATTGTTTTATCAATGCTATTCTTTGTTTTGGTAAATTTATATCAGAGCAGTTATAAGGTTAAGTTATATATATATATATATATATATATATTTTTTTTTTTTTTTTTTTTGCTCTTTTGCTATCTATCCGCACCTGGCATGGTATTGACAATCAGCAGATGTGTTGTGATGAATAGGATCGACATTACAGGTATGAGGAAGGATAGTACCCAGCATTACCTCTTCCTTGTTATAATTTATTTCTTTGATTTAGGTGAGGAGATCTCTCATCCAGCTCCTTTTTAATCTCCTCCTCATAGGCATGTCAGTCGTAGCCAAGTCTTTTTGTCTGTCGGTATAGTTCGAGATGAAAACGAGAGTAGTGAGTACATATGTGTTGGTCTGTAGTTGGTTGTCGTAAGTCGTTATGTAAAGTTTTGTTGTTGACGTACCAGGGAGCTCCTGGTTATAAGTCGTAAAATTTTGGATTGAAATGAATGTAGTTTTTGTGAGTGCATCTTTTTTGCCGAACCGTATATCTGAGAGGCGTATGTCCAGATTGGCTTGAGTAGGTAAGTGTATGTATTTAGTTTTTGTCGAACTTTCAATTTCGATTTAGAAAATGGTGAGTACAGTATTTTCAGTCGTGTGGGCCCTGCGTATCATCCTTCTGTCGAATATTAGTCCCAGGTAACGTACTGCGTTTGTCTGAGGAATTTGATTATCTCTTATATAAACTGGTGGGCACATTTCTCGTCGAAGTGTAAATGTTACATGTTGTGACTTGTCTTGATTTAATCTAATTTTCCAAAGAGAGTACCAATTCTGTAAAGTCAGTAAATGATTTTGTAAATTTATTGAGGCTAGTCTGAGGTTATAGTGTTTTGTTAAATTGTTGTAT